TCTAACTCTCAAAATAATATATTTGATGAGGAAGATGGAAGCAAGAATTGAATATTGATTAATGAAGATATTGGAGTGCAAGAGATGTGTGTTTGATGAAGAAGGATGAGGGTTTTTATAGGATTAAAAGAAATAAATCCGTTGGAAGTAGGGAAGAGGTGATTTTGACAGATTGGAGCGTTGGGGATCGATCCAGGGCAAAAGATCGATCATCTGGAGTAAACTTCCGAAAATAAATTTGTGTCAAAAGCACGGGGGATCGATCCAAGGCAGGGGATCGATCCAAGGGGACCAAAAATCCGGAAATGAGTTCTTGCAACCCTTCGGCGGATCGATCCAGGAAAAAGGATCGATCCAACCCCTGCAGCGCACAACAAGATGATCGATCCTAGCAATTGGATCGATCCAGTGACGAACAGCTCTCAAACATGAGGACCCAAGACATGTGTGCGAGTGGGATGGATATTTGGATTTAAATGCTTTGTTTTAGACAACAATTTGAATAATATAAGGCTCCCAAAAACAAACAATACAAATGGGTTAAAGAAATTAATTCAAATTCAAAATTTGAATTAAATATTTGAATTTTGGTGTAGAAATTGAGTCCCAAAAATATTTTGTGTGTCAAACGATGTAAAAGAAAAAAACTTTAAAGTACATTTTTCTTACCACAAAAAATTTGTGTATCCTTAAATAATATTTTAAAGAAATTTTGACACACTATTTTGAAACTGACTCAAAAGAATATTTTTAGACAGAGAAGAAATAATTTTTCAACTGACTCAAGAAATAATAATTTTTATCCTTCAAAATTAATTTGTTTATGCAAAAATTATTGTCATCCTTACAAGAATCCTAGACTCAATAAAAAATTAAAAAGTCTTCGGAGTCTTCACTTCACTTCAAAAATCTGCGTAGGGGTGAGCGTTGAATTTTATCCCGTAACTTTCTTGATACGCCTCTTTTCTTTTCTCGGTACGAAAAAAATAAATTTTTGATTATCGTTTGAATTTCATCATCCTGTTTGTCATTTATCAAAACAAAAAATATTCCAAAAAAATAATAAAGGGGTTTGAACTCATGTCCAACAGGGTGGTTAGTCAAGAGCCCATGGTTTTTGCCTTAACCACGGCCTAGCCAACCGATGCGAAACCCGACCGAAAAATTCAAAGTTCTCCAAAATAAAAACCAAGTGTTTAAAACACTTATTTCATGTATTTGGCTAATAAATCAAGTAAGACACTTTAAAAACCACGTCATTTGAGTGAAAACCACGGCTAGCCAAGTTTATGCCGTTTTGAATGATTTTTGTCAAACGACCAAAAGCGAAAGATGGTTTTCAAGGTGTTTTTGTTGGAGAACCGTTTAAACATGCCAAAGGGTGAAAACCAATCATAAAAAGTTGAAAAACACTTGGTTGGTTTGGACGCCAAAAACCATAGCCGATAACCAAGAGCCGAACGTCGGTTTCTGAAAAACCGAACGCTGGATGGCTTGGTTTTTGGTTTGGGCGAACACCAAGTGTTTTTAATGACTTAAACATGTTTAAAGAACATTTTTATGATTTAAGAAATGCAATGAAAGATTTTAGCCTAAAGAGCCAAGGTGTAAAGATTGGGTCGGTCTTGATCACAATGAAGACCGACTCAACGACACTAAGACTAAGGTCTTCGTTCTTGGTCTTCTTTTAGCTCTTGTTCTTGTCTTCCTTCTTCGCCTTGTATATTCAAAGTTTGACTTGATTACGGCGGTTTGGCATTATCAAAACCTGTCATAAAAACAAACACGACTTTAGTACGAAAACGTGACATGCCCGTGTTTCCACAAATCTTGGAGAAGACTGTTGCCAAAACGAGGAAGGATTGGAGCGAGAAACTAGATGACGCTCTATGGGCATTTCGCACGGCATATAAAGCACCAATTGGTACAACTCCCTTTCACCTGGTGTACGGAAAGTCTTGTCACCTTCCAGTGCAAATTGAGCATAAGGCATTATGGGCATTACGAAATGTTTGCCTTGATTCTTCTGAAGCCGGGCGTGAAAGGTTTTACCAGCTAGATGATCTAGACGAATGGCGAGCATTAGCATTCCACAATGCTAAGCTATACAAGGAGAGGATGAAGTTATATCACGACGCTCATATTAAGCAGAATAGGGTCTTTCGCGAAGGTGAAAAAGTGTTGCTTTATAATTCTCATTTGAGATTGTTCCCAGGAAAACTGCGCTCCCGATGGACAGGGCCTTACACAATCACCAGAGTTTTCCCGTATGGAACCGTGGAGTTGAGAGGGGAATCTGGAACGTTCAAGGTCAACGGTCAACAGATCAAGAGGTATTTCGGTGAGCAGTTTCAAAAAGGGAAAGTGGAGGTTAAACTCCACAAGTGAAGCAATCGCGTCAAGCTAATGACGTTAAAGAAGCGCTGAACGGGAGGCAACCCGTTATTTCTACCTTATTTAGTTATTATTTTCTGTTGTTCTTTTCTTTTGAATAAATGAATGGAGACTTGTCGCACCTGCGTGGGGGCAAGATTTTATATGTGTGTTTCATGTGCAGATGCCTCACAGACCAGCATACCCGACTGCTACGCGTGCCGATGTTCACCTGGTGGGTTCTGGACCCATCCAGCGGTTTGAGATGTGGGGTCGTCACCGCTCATTGACGGAATCTGTGTACTTATCCTCGATAGTTCTCACTGAATATGGATACGCTGAAGAGATGGAGCAGCTGCTACAAGGGACTAGGTGGCATCGCCTCTTCACGATGCGGGCCGAGTCTAGCCTGCCACTGACGATCGAGTTCCTGTGCTCTCTGGAGTTGGAGCCATCTACAGGGTCGAGGTCGATGAACTTCCAGTCCATCGACTCTCGTACAACCCTCACTTTCACTCTCTTGGGGCGAGGATTTCAGCTGACGGTCGCCGATCTGGCTACACACTTGGGTCTCTACAGTTGGGAGGAAACATCGGCACCGGAGTTTGGTACCGCACCATACCTTCTCCCCACAGACATTGATCCAGCTGACTTCTGGGCGGAACACTCTTCCGATCCGGACCGTTTCGAGGGCATGGGCCGAGCCAGGTTTTGGATTCAGCCGACTTGGCGAATCCTATCTTTTGTGCTTTCGACATCTTTCTTTGGGCGGCCGTTGAACACGGATCGGGTATACCCCGATGATTTGATTGTCTTCTGAAGCCTGCACACACGCCGGGAGGTGAATGTGGCTGTCTTTGTGGCCCGATTTCTCTACAGTCAGTCCATGGGGAATCGGATGCACATTGTCTGTGGTTTCGTAGTCACCATACTCTTCCGATCACTCGAGGGATCGGCACCCATTCCGCGAGCTCAGATGATGATGCGAGATTTGGATGCCGGCATGCTGAGGAATGCCCACATTCGTAGGAGGTTGGGAGCTGGCTCTACCGAGAGCAACGCCGCTTCCTCATCTGCGCCCTCGACATCAGGAGCATCTTCGCAGGTCTCGTCTAGGAGAGCCACTCGCCGCCGACCCACTCCTCAGGCCACCCCAGCTACGACCCAGGCTGATCCGACCCCTGAATGGGCTAGGAGGATCCTGGAGCAGCAGGATACCATCCTGCAGAGGATGTCCGAAATCGGACAGCAGCAGGCATCCCAGGCTGAGAACTTTGCTCAGCTTCGAAGGACCTTTACTAGCTTTTACTCGGATGTGCACATCGGGCTCACCCCTCGTTCTCCTGAGGGCAACGATCCATCCACCTCAGTTCCTCCTCCTTCGTGATCTTCATATTATTTTCTTTTGAAAACTTTTATTTCTTTTCGTTATGAGCAGGAATTGATGATCAACTGGATTTGTTGGAACTTCTTATTTTCCGCCGGTAACATTTA